CGACAAGGCTGTATGCATCAGGATCTCCGGTCAGATCTCGGATCCTATCGTCGATTCGCCGGATCGTCCCTTAAAATCAGCTGTTTTCGCTCTCGGAAGCTTCTGGCGATCGGAGGCAGCGTTCGGTTGTATCAACGGCGTCGTACGAACAAGTGCCGGTTACGCCGGAGGAAACAAGGTTAATCCGGAGTTTAGGAATTTAGGTGATCACGCCGAGTCCGTACAGGTTTTGGTTTCTTACTTTTGACCTGATTTCACATATTTGATTTGAGGATTTAGACAATGTTCTAAGTCATGTTGTTCGATTTGATTTGCTCTACTGAAGAAGTTGCGTTTTGGATTAACAAAATTTAGTGTAGACGATGGTAGAATGATGTAGCTTCTTTTGTTGAGTTTTGGTAATGTGTGATCTTTGTGTATATGTGGTTGAGGTAGCTCTAAATTGTGAACATAATCATTGTAGAAACTGACAATTTTCATGAGCTGGTTTTTAGTTTTGTGTTGCTCTTCTTGCTCTGTAACTGTTGACACTTTACACAGAAGATTTGTTGATTTTGTTTTGTGATTCAGGTTGAATATGATCCGAGGATAATCGGTTATCGTCAGCTCTTAGATGTATTCTGGTCTAGTCATGATTCCAGACAAGCGTTTGGACAAGGTCCTGATGTTGGTAATCAATACAGGTCAGACAGACAATTCTCTACATTAATCTTTTGTTGTTTGGCGAAATAAACCTAAAACATCTCTGGGTCCTTTTGGGACAGATCCTGTATTTTCACTAATTCTACAGAAGAGTTGAGGTTGGCTTCTACTAGCAAAGAAAGGGAGCAACTTAAATCAAGAAGCAGTATCGTCACTACCCAAATTCAACAGTTAGGAACGTTTTACCGCGCAGAGCCTGACCATCAGGTTCAACTTTAATCATCTCTACATTTTCCTTTCTCTATCACGGTTTAGCTACTCGTTAGCTTTTTTCTAACGATGATGAATTTACAGAAGTTCGAGCTGAAACAACATCCATTCCTTCTTCAGTTAATAGGAAACATGGTAGAAGAAGAGCTCGAGAGATCAGCTCTAGCCACAAAACTAAACGGTTATGCAGCCGAGCTCTGCCCGCCCAGAATCCAGAAACAAATCGACTCCAGAGTAAACGAGATCATTAGAAAAGGTTGGCCGGTCTTGAAAGACATCTAATATAAGAGCCGTGACCTGTGAGTGATCGATCGTTGCCTGATTCTTTTCGTCGATTGATAATGTCTCAAATGTAAGTTTTCATTCATTCTTTTTGGCCAGTAATATTGGTTGTATACAATATTTAT